CCCCATGTCAGCTCCCTGCTGTGTCTCAGAGATTCCAGAGAGGGACCTGGGCATGGGGTGTGGGGTGTTTGGTGTCTTATCCCAGGCACAGTGAAAGGAGTGAGGACTTGGCATGCTGAGGCCCTTGAGACCCCGTTCCTCACCTGTATGAGCTCTGGATTTTCTTTAATGAGCTATTTTTGTGAGGTGTGTCAGTCAGACTCAGAAATTTCATGGAAGTGGACAGGTATAATATGGAGAAATGGGAGCATGCATTATACATCAGCCTATAACACTGAGAATCACAAAGGACATGATCAAGAGCCAAGTTTTATTAACTCTGAGAATCTGGAGATACAAGGAGGAATGTATAGTGCTGTGGGAGAGAGGAGGAGGGGAAATCCGTGTGAGTCCAGACACAAATCTCCCTTAAGGGGCACTGACAACAAGCAGGGGTTGCTCAGGACAGAGCTGAGTACAGGATGGGCCCCACGTGCAGGTGCAGAGCACTGTGGGGAGCAAGTTATTTTCAGTATCTGTGGTTTCCTCTTCCTGAACCGGAACTCCTCTAGATATATCTTATTTTATTAACTTTATATACATCTGTATCTTATTCTGTTAACTCGGTTGTTTCTCAATTTCTGGACATAATCCTACTTCTATTTACCATTTAAATTGTTTAGGTATTTTTCCATCTTATTTAAAGGTGGTAAACACTGTACTAAGCCTCCTACGTTTCAAAATGAATTTGTGTCTGGAAGCTGGCATCTGTGGAAAGAGGGGTAGGTGGATTTTCAATCATGTGCAAATCTTCCTGCATGCAGCAGGAAAGGGCCTGGAATGTATTGGGGTGATATGGCTCAGTGTGAACACGAATTACAGCCAAGCTCTCACATACTGAGTAAGCATCAGCAGGAACCTCCTAGAGTCATGTTTCCTGAGCACTGATCACCCTTATGCATTACTGTAAAATAGACACAGTGGGGTACCTCAGTGTGAGTCTGGATACAAAGCTCCCTGCAGTGTGCTCATGAACACCAGGGATTGCTCAGGATGCACTGAGTTCTGAATCTGATCCAGGAGCAGAATTCTCCCTCTGGATCCTGCATTTCCCCAGCCCCTCCTCTCACGGTGGCCATCAGAGTTCAAGACGGAGAAGTGGAATCAGCTCAGGACAGAGCCCCAACTTCTTCTGTTCAGTCATTGAACAGGTCAGAGAGACAAGACAAGCCAGAGGATGGAGAGGAGAAGTATGTCCATAGATGAGGATGTCCTCTCCCTTCCTAACTCACTTGTATCCCTCTTCTGTGTCATACTGTGCTGCACTGTGGATGTAAGTCTCAGACAATCTGTTATCCTGAGCGATGCACGAGAAACAAAGGGAGGCTCTGATCTTGAGTGTGATCAACAGCGATCTGAGCATACTCCTCCTTTGGTCGATGCTAGGAGGAGGAATTGTCATCTGAAATCCAGGATTATTACAGCCTTCGTCACTGTAGCAAGACATGGGATCAACCCTTGGCTCTCAGGAAACCGATGGAGAAATACGTCACTGTGGAATAAAAAACTAAGCCTGAAAGTGTCATGCCTTTCATAACATTGGTGGGTCTGGAGGATGCTATGTTAAGTAAAATAAAGGTAACTCAGAAGGATACAAATGGACTTTTTCACAAAGAAGATATATACATTTTGTTCTCCAAGAATTATTGAGTAAAATGTACATTTATAGGGCCTGGGGCAGTGGGGAGTGAGATGGTATTAGTGCTATATGTTAAGTAAAATAAAGGTAACTCAGAAGGATACAAATGGACTTTTTCACAAAGAAGATATATACATTTTGTTCTCCAAGAATTATTGAGTAAAATGTACATTTATAGGGCCTGGGGCAGTGGGGAGTGATGGTATTATTTTATAGGGCCTGGGGCAGTGGGGAGTGAGATGGTATTAGGCAAAGTAAGCAAAATTCTAGTAAGACAGAACAGTACGTTCAAAACATGTACTGCACAGCATGGTTGTGCTATTAAATCACTGCACATTCTGTTCTTGAGAATAGGCTAGTAGAATAGATCTTACTTTTACTCATAGGAAAAATTTTCAGTAAGGGAGGTAATGTATTTTTTCCCTTTTTTGCAGTATTGGAAATTAAATCAATGCCTTTGCAGCCAAGGCCATTTTCATATATTTTATTTTTATTACTATTTTGAGGATAATGTCTCATTACAACATCACATTGCCCGGGTGCAGCTGGATATTGGCATTTTTCTCTCTCAGCCTCGCAGTGTTCAGATTATAGCATATGTCACCACAGGGAACACAATGGTTGCACTGTCTAGCTAAATCAGGCAATTTCATGGTGTGTAAATGTTTGAAAATTTCAGTAATTTTACAGAAGTTTCAAATGTCATGATTTCTTTTTTTCTTGACTGTTGGGATTTCATTACTGTATATATTATGTATTGAGATACTGCACAGACATATTTCATGCTGTGCATAAAAACACCCACACTTGTATCCTTAGATTAAATAATACAACAAATGATAAAAAGCATATCAACATTGCCTCAGATATCTGGAAAAACAATACATAGGCATTCATGAAAGCAGTAATATCTCTGTAATATTTACCAATAAATTTCACCTAAAGTCTTACAAGTTGTAGGCTGTTTTATTTTCCACTAATAAAATATAACATTATTAAATAACTAGAGTGGGACAGATTACATGATTAATCAGTGCTGCACTATATATGATATCGATAGATGTCACATTAACATTGTAACAATTGCAATATCACCGGGCCTGGTACAGGGGACCTCAGGAAGAGCACAGAGATCAGTAAGGGCACGGCCAGCTTTCTTCCCTGAGCAGCAGGTCCATCAATGACAGCAAAGGGACAGCCCTCTCTACCTCTTTTGCCTTTATATACAACTGTACATCTTACCTGTAAATACTCAACTGGGCATCCAGATTAAATCACAGCCAACATTGTGTACATGCAGGAATTATGTTAATCTCGAAGATATTTTGTGGGATTTGTAAAAATAATCTGTAAGAACATGGATGCTCCTCTTTTGGATCCTCCTCTTTTGGCAGTGGTTCCCAGAGGTAAATGTTCCAGGAATCAGACAGGAAGACACAGGGAAGCTGAATCTGACCGGAACTCACCATGTATTCTATACCTGGTGTCCTGTCCCAGGTGCAGCTGCAGGAGTCAGAGCCTGGCCTGGTGAAGCCTTTGAAAGCCCTGTCCACCCACCTGCATGGTCTCAGTTACTCCATCACCAGCCTTTACTACTGGAGCGGGATCAGTCCACAGGGAAGGGAGTGGAGGGGGTGGGGCACAGTGGTAATAGTGGACACACAGATTAATGTCCCTCCCTGGAAAGCCAAGTCAGCATCTCCAGGGACAGTTCCAATAACCAGTTCTTGTCTTCAGCTGAAATTGGGACCACCAAGACCTGGCCCTGTATTACTGTACAAGACATACAGTGAGAGGACATCAGTATGAGCCCCCACCAACCTCCAGGTGGGGTAGCTGAGGACCAGCAGAAGGCGCTGAGGATCCACTGAACTCCAACAAGGGCCTCATGAACAATTGCAGACATGGAAAACTGGAGAGTGAAGACTTCCTGGACTCTGGGGTTTCCTCTCCATCTCAGTATCATATGACCTGCAGAGACCCTGGAGTGCACACATCTATTTCAGTTGACTTATGATGTATCACTTCCAAAGAAAGTAAAGGATATGTTTTTGTTAACTTTCATTCATAGATGTGTTTTTTAGGGATTAATTTATTTCCTCATCTCTGATTTGAATTTTGCAAGCCAAGCACACATTCATCACCCAAAAGTAGACTGTAAATCCTCAGAATGCAGGTGTCCTTGAAAAACCAAGTCCTCATCATTTAAAAATGAATACAGCTGCATGTGATACACGGCTCCTAATGCGAGCATTCAGGATGATGGGGATGACCTTTCTCTTGTGCTCGCTGAAGTGTGTGGGACACCAGACTGCATGGGGAAGGGAAAGCTGGTGGACACCCAGCACCTCTCACTGCTGGGTGACAACAAATTGTCTAATTGTGGAAGTATATCCATTTTCCTTGCTGTAACTTGCTGAAAGGAAATCAGCTTACAGATAGAAAATTATTTCTATGCTCAAGTGAATGATCTTATTTGAGGCATACATTCAAATCCTATGTCGGTCAAATTTAGGCCATCAAGATACTTTCTCCCGTTCTCAAATATAAATGGATCCAAGACCAAAAAGTGTCTATTACACTGAGCATTTCTGAGGCAGTGAGCAGGATAGGACGTCATGACCTTGAGTGCCCAGCTCTGTCCTTCCTCTGCTTCTCACATGGTCCTCTCTGGATCTGAGAAAACTGAGCGTGCGCTGTAATCTGATGTGGAGCTGTGTCAGATGTGGAGCCTCTCTCTCCTCGGGGCTGACTGGGTAGGAGGACAAGTGGGTGCTCTGTGAACTGTCCTTCTGCCATGACACACTCATGGAGACACTGAGCAGCCACCTGTACAAACAGGAAGTTAAAACGGCTACTCTCCTGTCCCTCTCTTTTGCTAACCATCATCCCATCTTCCTGTCATAGACAGGACAGGAAAGAACATGCAGGAATCACCTCCTGCTGTCCCCAGGCAAACAGTGTTCCAGTAGGAGGGACACCATATGTCTTGGTCTTCTCCCATCCTCCAAGATGAGAAGCACAGGGAGGACCCTGTCTGCAGTAATAGGGAACTCTCAGCCTTGCTGTCTTCCAGCCACAGGCTCATCTGAGGCTCTGTGTCTGACGCCCTGGGCCCAAATGGGCAGATGTCTCCATTGGGAGCAGATGTGTAACTCACATGAGAGGGGCCAAGTGCTGTGCATCACAGCCTTGTTCCCTCCGTGTTCTAAGACTTGAGTCCTCCCTTCAGGGTCAGCACGTGGGGCGGGAATGCAAAGCTCTTCTGGCTCCTCCCATTTTGGCTTGAAAAGCCCAGCAGGGCCTGGGTCAGGACTCCTGGGCCCACCATGGACAGGCTGTGCTCCATTCTTCTCCTGCTGACCTTTCCGGCCTGTGAGTGCTCTGGTCAGGGTCTCAGGATGCAAAGCTCCTGTCTTCGTCCAAACTAACTCACCTTTCTGCTCTGTTTTTCCACAGGGGTCCTGTCCCAGGTCACCCTGAAGGAGTCTGGCCCTGGGCTGGTGACCCCCACCCAGACCCTCAGGCTGACCTGCTCCTTCTCTGGTTTCTCACTGAGCACATCTGGTATGGGTGTAGCCTGGATCCGACAGCCCCCAGGGAAGGGCCTGGAGTGGTTGGCAAATTTTTGGTGGGATGATACTAAGTACTACAACTCAGCCCTAAAGAGCCGGCTCACAATTTCCAAGGACACCAACAACCAGGTGTCCCTCACGGTGACCAGCATGGACCCTGGAGACACAGCCACATATTACTGTGCAAGAGCAGCACAGAGACTCAGCTTTGACGGCCTCCTGTACACAATCAGAGGCTGGGTCTGTGCTCAGGCCCCTCTCAGGTCAGGAAAGTGTGCACTTCCTGTCAGCCTCTGGGGTTTCCTCTTCACCCCAGAGCCTGAGGGTCCTGACTTGCTGTTACTTTAATTCTTCATCAGATCCTCTTCTTAGCTATTTATCTGGGAGAAATCCTGTGTTCTGTTAATAAAGGTGCATCATGAAGGGTACCTGCTATCTGGGTCCATTGGGTCATTGATAGGACACTACTTGTTCACCAGACCCATACTCCACACACCAGTAATATACAAATCACCAAAGCCTTTACCGAATTGCTAAGTATGAAGTTGGACAAGCATTAAGGGTTAAATGTATGGTATTATGGTTTGGATCTTAAATGCCCTCCTAAAGCTAAAGCATGCAAAGTGTGACCACCCCTCAAGTGCAGCAGCCCTCAGAGTTGGGGCCAAGAAATGTGATTAGATCATAAGGGCACTGCTCACTTGAAAGAGTTAAACATACATCTTCAAGGTTAAAGTCACTTTATTTGTACTGCTTAAAACCATGCCACTATTTGGCATGAAGCTTATACGTATTATAGTAGGTTCCTGTTCTGTCTAACAACATTGTTCGTTTTGATATATATATTTAAACATAGACCCATGAAGAGTGAAAAATACACAATCTTGCTTTCCAGTTTTTAAGGAATTTGAAAATAGCTTTCAAACTTTTTGAAAAATTCAACCAACGTTTGGCATATTTATGCCCCCAATTTCAGGTGACATGAATACATCCCATGCACATTTTCAAATACAGCGCTCGAAGTTGCAACCAGACATTCCGCACAATGAAAAGTGTGATCACAGCTCTTGGATAAGACCTATCTTCCCACAGGAGCCTGTTTCTCACATCACAATTGTGTGCATTCATTTTATTGCTTTGGTACATGTCAGTGAACAACTATTTTCAAGGTGGAAAGCATTTGAAAAATGAAATCAGATTACAAGTTTCTGGGTGGTACCTTAAGAACCCACTAAGAATTGTACACTTTTCCATTGACAAGCCCCCAAAATATATGAAAATATCTGAGTGACACATTATTAGAGAAGATATGTGGATGCCAAATAAGCATGTGAAAGCCAAATTCCCATTGTTTTCATTAAGGAACCCCAAATTAAATCACAGCAGGAAACCATGAAGTGCCTTTTGCAATGAATCCAGTTCTACATTGATATGGGTGAGCTGGTAACTTGCACTCCTTGCTGGTGGGAGAACAAGAAGGCAAAAACTACACAGATTGCACCGTGACTGCTTTTGCAAAGCCAGGCCTCAACATAAAGCACAACCCGGGAAGTAGCGCTGTCAGTGTAAATCCAACAGATTTAAAAAAGCAAATAAGTGTAGGGAAAGTGGGAAGGGTACGGGAAAGCTAATAAGGGAAAAGAAAAAAATAGGAGAAAATGAAGAAATGGAAATGAAGTGTTTGTAAAGGGGGAAGGAGGAGAGGTGAAGGGAGGGCAGGGACAAGGGGTAAACATGAGAACCAAGACCTGTCACATGAAGGTACAGGATCCCAGTAATGAATGTAACTGTACTGTATACCTAAAATGTACCAATAAACTCAATGAGAAAAAAAAAAAAGCAAATAAGGAGAGCTCGATGAAGGGGGACTGAGGGACCATTCTATAGGAGTAAGAAGCTCTGGTTTGCTATTGTACCTGCAGGCAATTATAGGTAAGAGTACTGCACTGCCAATTTCACAAAGCTAGCAGAAGGAGTTTGAGTATTTTTATCATAAAAATGGTAAAAGTTTATCCTGATTTAAATTCAACACATGGTACACATGTATCAAATCATCACATTAGCTCCCAAATAGGTACAGTCTTTATGATTTTAAATACTAGTTATAATAAAATGCACAAAATGTAGGAAAAGCAACATATATATATATATATATATATCAGAAAACATCAGCATGAAATTATTTTTACTATATTCATAAGCCCCCTATACTGCAAAGAAAGATGTTATTCACTACATGAATGGATAAAGAAAATGTGATGCAACCATAGAGTACAATATTCTTTACAATGATTTTTTTTGTTCTTAAAATGCTTCTTTTTTCATTTCACCGATATATCCATGTAGTTCCTAGTACTCAAGCTTTTGGTTTATCTAAATTTGGGAAAGTTCATTTGTTCTTATATGCACCTTCCTTTTCCTGACATTCTGATCTTCCTTGAAAAATTGAGACCTTTCTTACAGTCTGAATATAATTACAGACAGATTATTCCAGAACTTTCTGCTTCCTGAATACTTTTTTATTCATGCTGTTTCCTTATTCTTCTCTTACTCTCCAGAGCTGCTGTGGATACTTCCTCCAGAAGTGCTCACAGTGGCGCTGTGTCCTCATGTGTCACGAAGAGCCTGATGAGGAAATCTGCACGTTGTCAGGACTTCCCCTGGGGCCGTCATGACGCCTCTTACTTGGAGACCCACTTATGAGGAGTAGACACCATTTCCAGTTCACCCGCTGCTCAATTTGAATAGAATCTGTCTGGTGGCTGCTCCTGCCCGGGCTCTCTGTAGTGCACTCTCTGTGTTGCCTGGAGATCAAGTTTGCCTCCTTGCTGTGGGCCTCTCCTCTCCACCCTCAATAACGCCTCTCTATCCTCAGCCCAAATGCAGCAGCACCCACACCCTCTAACTTGCTGTCACTGCCTGTCACTGGCCCTAAGTTTTGATGCAAACTCTTCTCAGACATGAATGGTCCGTGGCCAAGATGCTGCTAAAATGATGGTGTGCATGGGGTCACCGTCTTGTATCAGAGCTACCGCACTGTCTGCATTTGCAATTAGAAACACTGGGGAAGAAGTCAACATGAGCTGTCGAAGACTCATATTTGATGGCTATAAACCACAAGAGCCCCAGCCAGGTGGGCTAGGTAGAATCTACAGCACTGTCTGGAACACGACTTTAATGAAGGGTTTCTCCAGGAATTAATTCAAAGGCACAGAATGAGGGGCTGATAGGAGACAAGAAGGAGACCATAACATTTTCTTTACATGGTCATCGAATGCAGCACCAACCCCAGCAAAGTCACATAGCAGAGAACAGCTTAGCTAGGAGTGGATCCCATAGCACCAGCGCTGGGCTCAGCAGCTCCACCATGCAGTACCAGGTCTCAGGAAGCCCTGTCATCCTGGCTCAGTTCTTATACTGCCTGCCAGAGACACATGCAAATCACACGAGGCGCTGGCAGAAGAAATCTCTGTCACAAGCAGGGCCAGGGTGGAGGTCTCAGTCCTGCATGACAACATGGAGATGCTGTGGACCCTTCTGTGCCTGATGACTGCTCCTCTGGGTGAGGGTCCTGGGGTCTCTAGACGGTTACAGGGGACTGGGAGTGGAACGGGAAAGACTCATCATGACTCCCCTTGTCCTCAGGTGTCCTGTCTGATCCGACACTGCAGGAGTCAGGACCTGCCCTGGTGAAGCCTGGACAGACCCTGTCCCTCACCTGCACAGTCACCGGGGGCTTGGTCACTAGTAGTGACTCCTGGCATTGGTTCCGCCAGCCTCCTGGGAAAGCTCTAGAGTGGATGGGGCGCTGGTGGGGGGACCCAACCTACAACCCAGCCTTCGAGGGACGCATCTCCATCACTGCTGACACAGCCAAGAACCAGTTCTCCCTGCAGCTGAACTCCGTGACCCCCGAGGACACAGCCATGTATTACTGTGCAGGACTTGGCTCACAGTGAGAGGACATCAGTGTGAGCCCAGGCAAAAAGCTCCCCACGAGTGTGCTCATGGCCAGCAGGGGGAGCCTGTGACCACTGAGCACAGAGCTCCACCCCAGGGACAAATACAAAGTGAGGCTATAGACCCACTTTCAGAGACTGGGGTGACTTCTCTCACTATCATCAAGCCCCTCCTGGGCCAGTCACCCACATCCCCTCCAATCTCTCATTTAGGATTTTACAGAAATCACTTCTCACAATTTGCTACACCATTGCCGCACCCATTGTGAGAGACTCCCTAAGAGCTTTCACTACACTTCTCATTCCTCAGACACTCATCAAGGCTCAACTCATCAATGCCCTGGCTTAGGACAGAATTCACTAGTGAAAAATTAGTTATAATTCTGGGGAACATGGCCATCAATAATAATTTTAACTTCCAAACGCTTTTGCGCACACTGAAGTATGCAGCACGGGAATGGGCCACAACCTTTGCAATATTATGAGGGAAACTCTCCAACTCAAAGTGTTTGCTTGGTATCGGAGTCCATTTTCTGTTGCTGCCACAGAATAGATGGATGGACGAGCAGAGCAAGTAATTTATGAAGGTTAGGGGTTCATTTACCTTACGTCTCCAGATGCCCAAGAGCTCAGCGCCAGCTTGTGGAGAGGGCTTCCCAGTGCATCACGCACAGTGGAGGGCAGCACGTGGAGAGACCGCAAGTGGCCAGGAAAACGGAGTCACTCTTTAACAGAGCCACACTCCAATGACCTGCTAATCCTTTACTCCATTGGTGGGTTAACCAACCCAGGGAGGGGCGCTCCGGACCCAATCACCTCCCAGTATTTACATTTCCAAATACTATCTTTTGAGAACTAAGTTTCCAACAGGAGAAATTTGGGGGATTACTTAACCCAGTTCAGTTGGTGAAAAGAAAGATTGTGACAGGCAGAACCTGGCAAGATTCGCTAAAATAATGAACTGATTATAAGATACTTGGAGCAGTGGGATAGACTCAGAGTGGAACCGCACCCCACGTGAGAGCAGAACCGTGCCTGAAGAGTGGCGTCCTTCCCCCGTGTGAGGGAGAAGACCTGGAGTGGGTCCTCACCCTCGTGTGAGAAGAGAGCAAAGGCACCCACACCCCATAGAGAGCGGACCCACGGCACGGGAGGGCCGCCAGGCCCCACACGAGAGGACGCATGCCAGAGAAGCCCCAGCCCACCCTCGGGGAGCACAGCTCAGGGCAGCAGAGTCAGATTCTAACCAACTGACTTGAACCTGGACGAGGACAGCACCCGGGAGAGAAGGAAGGACCAGCCGCATCAGTGTGCACACTGAGTCCACCAACCCACTCGAACCCTCGCCTCGCAGCCTGAGTCCAGCAGAGAACAGAGGGCTGTTTGTGTTTCCCATCTACCATGAGGGGAAGGACACTCCTTGGCTCGGATGGTGACCACGGTCTGGGAGGAATGAACAGAGGGGTCTCCTGTGCAGGAGGACACCTCAAATCACAGAGGCCCTAAAGCAGTGCATAGAAAAGCATCCATCACTGGCTGGATCCCAAGACTGAGGATCACGGAAAGAAACCACTAATTTAATAACATATGCATTTTTTCTTTGATTCAATCTTTTTTCATCTTCTGTTTTGAATTTCTTTCTCCTTCATCAGTCTTTTTGGGGATTTGGGCTTTTTCTCCCAGTATTCTGTTCTCTTTTTAGTTTCTCTTTTTCCATTTACCTTGTTTCCTTCAAACTTTTTCTTCTCCCTCTTACCTTTCTTTTATCAAAATTTTCTGTTTCATTATTAATTCTTTCACTCCTTAATGGGACAGCCTATCTTACGTTCACCTCCTCCTCCTATTCCATTAATTTTTCAAAATTTTATTTTACCATTCTCTGGTTCCCCACACCTCCACCATTACTAGTATAACTATGAAACTATATGAATTTCTACATAATAGTGTACAATTCACTATTGCTGTTCTAATTTCTGTAGAGGTAAAGTCAGTCCACTTAGTAGGTCCATTACTGTAGGTTAATGGTATGTCAATATTTTTATTCTCTTAGTGTTCAGACTATAAGTATAGATCTCTTTTGAAATTGACAACGATAGCACTTTATTGGTCCTTTGGGTTGGTCAATATTTTGTTTGCATTTAATGCTATAATTGATACTGATTGTATTACTATATCCAAGGTGACATAGCTGTTGCTATTAATTAGCTTTCTTGACAACATGCCACAGCCTCCCATATCACTGAAAGGGAGGTGGTTGGGTCCTGGGACAGAGGCAAAAGCCTGTACTTTCTACATCCAAGAAACATCATTGAAAGCTAGAAATTAACTTTGGACTTCTCCACACTAGAAACAGAACTTTTCACTACAATGAGCCAACAGGTCTCAACATAAAATAAGCAAACAAACAAAAAGAATCACAAGAAGACAGTCCAACAAAATGCTTTCCAGAACTCCCAGCTCTCCCAAAGATTATCCAGGTAGCATTAAAGGGGAAACAGCAAGAGCCTCAAGATGAATCATTCAATGTGCTATTAGGGGGATAATGAAACAGTTCAATAAGGCATCTGGAGGGCAAAGAAGGTGTAAACAATAAGACACCGGGCCAGTTAAACAAAATCACCAGCAAGTCCAAAAAAGACACTTAAATAAGATGAAGAGCTAAGCAAAATGACTCAGAACACACATTATAAACATAGCAATGAATTAGAGTCCATAAAAGGGCTCCAAGGAGAAACTTGGGAGACTAAATATTCTCTTGAAAGTAAGGGCAGCAAAGTGACCAATGGGAAGACAGAGTCTTAAAATCAGAACACGGGGCAGTTGTAAATACCAATTAATGAAAGACATTCTAAAAACAAAAAAGAGAACATGAAAAATAGATCCACAGCTCCTAAGTTATACAAATAAGACCAATCTAAGGTTAATTGTAATTAGTAAAAAATTTAAACTAGGACAAATCACATAAAAATTATGTTTATTGAAATAATAATTGAAAACTTTCAAAAAGATGAAATAATAAAACATACAGGTGAGTGAGACATCTAGAAACCCCAGTTCCCATGGTCTGTAAAGAACTTCTCTGCAGCACATCACAGCTAAAGGGGATGGAGAAGCTGGAGAAGAAACGGATGTGAATTTTGAAAGACTCATATCTGAAAGATATTGAAAGTCCCAGGCAGGTGGGCTAAGGTATATTGTGCACCACCAGCAGCAACAGCACCTGCAAGAAGGATCTCCCCAAAAATTAAAATTTCAGGCCTGGGGATGTAGCTCAGCGGTGCCCCGCCTGATTGGCAAGTGCAAGATCCTGAGTTCAATCCCACTACAAAAACTAATAATGATAATAATACAATTTCATCCACAGCCTGATGGTCTCACAGAGGATAGAAGCGAAACCCTCAGCATGTTCGTTACATGGTCATCAACTGCACCACTGACCCATGCAAAGTCACAGAACCGAGTACAGCGTAGAAAAGAATAAATCCCAGATGACCAGAGCCAGGCTAGGCAGCTCCCATACTAAGTACCAGGTCTCAGAACCAGTGACAGTCACCCAGGCTCCACCTCCTTTACGCAGCCCCTCCAGACACACATGCAAATGAGGCTAGGAGCTAGCAGAACAAATCCTCTCACCAGACAGGCTGTTGTGGAGGTCTCCATCCTGCAGGCACCATGAAGACGCTCTGGACCCTTCTGTGCCTGATGACTGCTCCTCTGGGTGAGGGTCCTGGGGTCTCTAGTTGTACACAGGGGACTGTGAGTGGAACGTGAAAAACTCACCATGACTCCCCTTGTCCTCAGGTGTCCTGTCTGATCTGACACTTCAGGATTCAGGACCTGGCCTGGTGAAGCCTGGACAGACCCTGTCCCTCACCTGCACTGTCACCGGGGGCTCTGTCACTACTAGTTACTACTGGCATTGGATCCGCCAGCCCCCTGGGAAAGCTCTACAGTGGATGGGGAGCTTCTTGTTAAGGAGCACAAACTACAACCCAGCCTTTGAGGACCGCATCTCCATCACTGCTGACACAGCCAAGAACCAGTTCTCCCTGCAGCTGAACTCCGTGACCCCCGAGGACACAGCCATGTATTACTGTGCAGGACTTGGCTCACAGTGAGATCAGTGTGAGCCCAGGCAAAAAGCTCCCCGCGGGTGTGCTTACGGCCAGCAGGGGGAGCCTGTGACCACTAAGCACAGAGCTCCACCCCAGGGACAAATACAAAGAGAGGCTATAGACCCACTTTCAGAGACTGGGGTGACTTCTCTCACTATCATCAAGCCCCTCCTGGGCCAGTCACCCACATCCCCTCCAATCTCTCATTTAGGATTTTACAGAAATCACTTCTCACAATTTGCTACACCATTGCCGCACCCATTGTGAGAGACTCCCTAAGAGCTTTCACTACACTTCTCATTCCTCAGACACTCATCAAGGCTCAACTCATCAATACCCTGGCTTAGGACAGAATTCACTAGTGAAAAATTAGTTATAATTCTGGGGAACATGGCCATCAATAATAATTTTAACTTCCAAACGCTTTTGCGCACACTGAAGTATGCAGCACGGGAATGGGCCACAACCTTTGCAATATTATGAGGGAAACTCTCCAACTCAAAGTGTTTGCTTGGTATCGGAGTCCATTTTCTGTTGCTGCCACAGAATAGATGGATGGACGAGCAGAGCAAGTAATTTATGAAGGTTAGGGGTTCATTTACCTTACGTCTCCAGATGCCCAAGAGCTCAGCGCCAGCTTGTGGAGAGGGCTTCCCAGTGCATCACGCACAGTGGAGGGCAGCACGTGGAGAGACCGCAAGTGGCCAGGAAAACGGAGTCACTCTTTAACAGAGCCACACTCCAATGACCTGCTAATCCTTTACTCCACTGGTGGGTTAACCAACCCAGGGAGGGGCGCTCCGGACCCAATCACCTCCCAGTATTTACATTTCCAAATACTATTTTTTGAGAACTAAGTTTCCAACAGGAGAAATTTGGGGGATTACTTAACCCAGTTCAGTTGGTGAAAAGAAAGATTGTGACAGGCAGAACCTGGCAAGATTCGCTAAAATAATGAACTGATTATAAGATACTTGGAGCAGTGGGATAGACTCAGAGTGGAACCGCACCCCACGTGAGAGCAGAACCGTGCCTGAAGAGTGGCGTCCTTCCCCCGTGTGAGGGAGAAGACCTGGAGTGGGTCCTCACCCTCGTGTGAGAAGAGAGCAAAGGCACCCACACCCCATAGAGAGCGGACCCACGGCACGGGAGGGCCGCCAGGCCCCACACGAGAGGACGCATGCCAGAGAAGCCCCAGCCCACCCTCGGGGAGCACAGCTCAGGGCAGCAGAGTCAGATTCTAACCAACTGACTTGAACCTGGACGAGGACAGCACCCGGGAGAGAAGGAAGGACCAGCCGCATCAGTGTGCACACTGAGTCCACCAACCCACTCGAACCCTCGCCTCGCAGCCTGAGTCCAGCAGAGAACAGAAGGCTGTTTGTGTTTCCCATCTACCATGAGGGGAAGGACACTCCTTGGCTCGGATGGTGACCACGGTCTGGGAGGAATGAACAGAGGGGTCTCCTGTGCAGGAGGACACCTCAAATCACAGAGGCCCTAAAGCAGTGCATAGAAAAACATCCATCACTGGCTGGATCCCAAGACTGTGGATCATGGAGAGAAACCACTCATTCAATAATATATGCATTTTTATGTAATTTTGTTCATCTTCCATTTTGAATTTCTTTCTCCTTTATCAGTCTTTTTGGGGATTTGGGCTTTTTCTTCTAGGATTTTCTTCTCTTCTTTTAGTTTCTCTTTTTGCATTTACCTTGTCTCCTTACAACAGTTTTTCTTTTCCTTCTTACCTTTCTTTTATCAAAATTTTCTGTTTCATTATTAATTCTTTCACTCCTTAGTGGGACAGCCTATTTTACGTTCACCTCCTGCTCCTATTACATTGATTAATTTTTCAAAAATTTCTTTTACCATTCTCTGGCTTCCCATCCCTGCACTTTTACTAGTATAACTATTAAACTTTATTAAGCTCTACATAATAGTGCATATTACACTATTGCTGTTCTATTTTCTGGAGAGGTAAAGTTGTTCCATTTAGTAGATATTAACTGTATGTTAATAGTACATCAATATTTGGTTTCTCTTACTGTTCATACCATAAATATAGATCTCTTGTATATCGACAAATAGAGTATTTTATTGGTCCTTCAGATTTGTCAATATTTTGTTTGCATTTAATGCTATAATTCACACTGATTTTATTACTGTATCCAAGTCAACTTAGGTGTTGCTGTTAATTGGCTTTCTTGACAACATGCTGCAGCCTTCCATATCCGTTAAAGGGAGGTGGTTGGGTCCTGGGACAGAAGCAAAAGCCTGTACTTCGTACATCCAAGAAATATATTGAAAGTTAGAAATTAACTTCGGACTTCTCCACACTAGAAACAGAACTTTTTACTACAATAAGCCAACTTCGAATAAGCAAACAAACAAAATAGAAACATAAGAAGACACTCGAACAAAATGCTTCCCAGAACTCCCACTGAAAGACCTTGAAAGTCCCAGGCAGGTGGGCTGAGGTATATTGTGCACCACCAGTGGCAACATGAAGGGTCTCACCAAAAATTAAAATTTCAGGCCGGGGGATGTAGCTCCGTGGTGCCCTGCCTGCCTGCAAGCTGAAGGTCCTGAGTTCAATCCTGGTACAAACAAACAAAATAAATAAATACAATTTCAGCCACAGCCTGATAGTCTCATAGAAGACAAAAGCAAAACCCCAAGCATGTTCTTTACATAGTTCATGAACTGCACCACTGACTCATGTAAAGTCACAGAACAGCATACATCTTAGCCAGGGATAAATCCCAGATGACCAGAGCCAGGCTGGTCAGCTCCTATACTGAGTACCAGGTCTCAGAACTAGTCACAGTCACCCAGGCTCAGCCTCCTTAATGCAGCCCCTCCAGACACACATGCAAATGAGGCTAGGAGCTAGCAGAACAAATCCTCTCACCATTCAGGCTGTTGTGGAGGTCTCCATCCTGCAGGTACCATGAAGACGCTCTGGACCCTTCTGTGCCTGATGACTGCTCCTCTGGGTGAGGGTCCTGGGGTCTCTAGTTGTTCACAGGGGCCTGGCAGTGGGATGGGAAAGACTCACCGTGACTCCCCTTGTCCTCAGGTGTCCTGTCTGATCTGACACTTCAGGATTCAGGACCTGGCCTGGTGAAGCCTGGACAGACCCTGTCCCTCACCTGCACTGTCACCGGGGGCTCTGTCACTAATTACTTGTGGAGTTGGATCCGCCAGCCTCCTGAAAAAGCTCTACAGTGGATGGGGAGCTACTTCCTAGGGAGCACAAAGTACAACCCAGCCTTTGAGGGCGGCATCTCCATCACTGCTGACACAGCCAAGAACCAGTTCTCCCTGCAGCTGAACTCCGTGACCCCCGAGGACACCACCGTGTATTACTGTTGGAGACACAGTGAGAGGACTTCAGCGTGAGCCCAGACATAAACCTCTCTGCAGGTGTGCTCACGACCAGCAGGGGACACCCATGACCACAAAGCTCAGAATCCAGCTTCAAGGACAATTACTGAGTGTGGCTAAGGATGTCTTTTCAGTCTGGTGTGATACTTCATATTCAAGCTTTTTCCTGCTGTATCATCTGACATTCCTTCAAGTCCATCACTTAGGTATTTACAGGAATCGCTCCTCACATTTCGCTACTCTTCTTCCTATGGGGCCTTTTTTTTTTTTTTTTTACTGAGCTGATAAAACAAATTTGCCCTCACCAACCTGCCTGATCTACTCTGGACTCTTGCATACATCTCTTCACTCTCTAGCTGCACTTGGAGATCTAATCCGAGCCCCACATTTTATGTATACAAATTTACCTCTGTCACCAACCTTCGTGCCTGACCTGGCCTCTTTCTTACTTGTGCAGTCAAGGTAGCCCAGGCCCTCAGTGGAACCCTTGGAATCTTCCCTGACATCTGTTTCACTCCAACGTGCACACATATGTTAGGAGCCCCACACTGTGATCCATGTCAGAGACACAGTCACAGGGGACAGCTTCTCAGTGCCTCTGAAGTGCTTTGGTCTAAAGCCAAGACGTTGGCCGAGCTGGATGCTCCTGAAAGCTGCACACAGGTCCCACGTTCAGGCCTTTTCCAGCCTCTAGGAGCTGCCTGTCCTCCTTAGCAGGTCCCCCTCCATCTTCAAAGCACATCACTGTAGTCTCTGCTCTCATAAACACCTCGCCTTTCCCCTGGCCCTGACCCTTTTTCTTTCCACCTGTAAGGACACCTGGGATTACACTGAGGCTGCTCAGGTCACTCAGAATCACATCTTCCCCTGGATATCTCTGATTCAACCACATCCACAGTGGCCCTGTTGCCATGCTGAGGTCACAGAGCTCAGGTCCTGGCCATGACCACATGGACTCGTGGGGATGCTGGCTCAGCTGGCCCAGGTTCTGTCTCCTGTTCAGCCTGGATCCACTCCAGTGCCCTGCACAGGAAGGGCATTGTTTAGGAGCAGCAGTAGCATGATCTGTGTGTGTCACACTTCTAGTGCTTGTGTTTGAATCTTTCCTATTTTTTTCTTTTTTACTATCAAGGCAAAGTAATTGATACCATAGCATTACATATTTTCTTCCTAGAATCATTTGAAAATATATCTAATATTATTTATTCCCTCCCAGATGTCAAGGGTCATGTGATTCCTTCATTAAGATAATACATATTTCAATGATACAATTATAACATATACTTTGTCACTTTACACATCAGAAAACTCTTTTTTCTTAAAGATTTTTTATTGTTCATAGAACAATTTATCATTCATTCATTTTAAAATATTAGAAAATTCAAAAAGGCACTTTGTTTCCTTTACAGCTTTATCTCCTATTTTTAGTGTTCAAACTGCCTACAGTGACTCTTTTGCTTGCTTTTCTTGTGGTTTCTAATTACAAGACATCACTCTGGGTGGGGAGGCCCGTAGGAACAGGTGCCTTCCTCCTCACTGAGGGGTCCCTGCACTTCATAGGGCATCCCTCACAGGCAAGGTCTGCACTTGGCACTGATGTTTCTCACAGTGAGGTAAACACTTGGCCACTCCATGGGCAGCACAGGATAAGGGTTTGGATTTCTACCTTATACGGGTCTGACCTTTGTGAGTAGTTCCCACCCAGTTTCAAGTCTGAAGTGAAATTAGAACCTCTCTAGTCTGATAAGGATGTCAGTTACCAAGGGTTAAGCTCCATTGGGCCATTGTACTCTGTCAACATGTTTTAAAGCATCATGTTCTATACAATAAATATCATTTGTTCATTAAGAAAGGAATTACCAGGCCGGGGATTTAGTTCAGCATTTCGGTGGCCTGCCTTGCAAGCGCAAGGACCCGAGTTCAATCCCCTGTACAAAAAAAAGAA